TTGGGATTACAGGTGTGTGCCAACATGCCCAGGAAGCACATTATTTCACTCACCAATTTGAAACAAAAAGGAAATCATGAGCAGTTTTTTCCTGGGTTGTTTTTTTGTTGTGGTTTGGGTTGGGTTGGGTTTAGGGTGTTTTGTTTTAATCCTCTCTGGTGGCATTGAATGACAGTCATACTTTCAAAATCACTAGCAAGCTAAGAACCTAGGATCTGGGATGATGGAAGGAGGCCATGCTCACATGTGCTTTAAACAGCTGTAAAAGTGAACATTTTGATTTTGTGTGTGAGTGAGTGTGTGTGTGTGTGTGTGTGTGGTGGTGGTGGTGGTGGTGGTGGTGGTGATTGAATCCATGGCCTCACATATTAGGCAAGTGCTCTACCACTGAGCTACATCCTTGGATTCACTAGTGAACATTTCAGATAATCAAGTTGCTTATAAACAGACCAACATCATGAGATTTTTTTTCTCAAGCCTCATCAGCACTGTCTGGATTGCTGGGGGCCCAAAATGGCTTCTGCAGCCAAACCAGTCCACCATCAATGTCCAGGGGTTTGGATTGATGAGAATACAACCCAGTATCCAAATCTAAAGCATCCAAGATTGAGCTCTTCCCGACAAGTCAGAGTTACTCACCTTCTTCAGCAGGACAATTTCATTCTCAGCTGTGGCCCTCAGGGCCAGCTCCTCCTCATACCTGAGGAGAGGGCACAGGTTGTAAGACAGCCCGCCAGAGCCCAGGGTTCCTAAATGCCCTGGTCTTCCCCCTCTTTCTGTGTACCTTTGAAGAAGAGGCTTGGTCTCTCTGAATCTCTATTTTCCAAACACAAAAGAATTTGCAAAAGGACACTGGACTCTGGTCCCAGCTTGGAATACAGTCACTGCAAACCACTTAATCTCTGCGTCTTGGCTTAAGTCATCTGCTGTGCAGCAAGGCACACAGTAAATATCTGTGTGATAAGTGAAAGGCACACAGATGTTCCCTCAAGTCTTTCAACTCTGAAATTGTTCAAAACATCAATGAAGCTCTCTGTTACTACACCCTTTGAGGTTCTGTCTTCCCGTCCTCCACCCACCCTAGTATCCCAAGACTTGAATTCCTGGAGGCAATCCACAGTCTAGGGCATTTCTCTGAGCCTCCTCCACCAGCCTGGTCCCCGTCCCCTTGCCAATGAGGCCCCATCGCTGGGGGACACTGGTCCTAGCTAACAAGGAAAGCAGAGTTCCCAGAGCTTGACTTCCACGACTCTTTAATTACAGGGAAATTTGGGCTCCAATAAACTCTCGGCTCTGTAATTACCAGTCCTCACACGCCCCAAATGGGAGACAGAACTTGATACCTGACCACTGAAAATCATATGTGCATTTGCTTTACCCCAAGGGGGGTAAAGACCCTCTGCTGTGTCCCTCTAGATGGTAAAAGGCGTGATTCCAAGGAAGGTTAGCATTAGAATTCCCAGGATGGATTCATGTCACAATCTCTATTCACTCTGTCTGGATCTGTGGTGGGGTGGTGGTGGGTGGAGTGGATTAACAGTGACCCAGTGAGCTTAGCACAGATAATGGCCAAACTCAATAATTCAGGCTCCAACAAAAGATGGACACTGGCATTTGAATCGTGGAGCCTGATGTAAGGAGAGCTTGATGATTTATCTGCAGAGTAAAGAAAGGACCAGGGCTGGGGTCATGGCTCAGTGGCAGAGCACTTGCCTAGCATGTGTGAGGTACTGGGTTCGATTCTCAGCATCACATATAAGTAAATGAATAAAGTAAAGGTCCATCAACATCTGAGAAAAGAAAAGAAAAGAAAGAAAGGACCCATCCAAGACCCTCTGATTCTTGGGCAGCAACAGCCAGACCATTTTCAAGATTTCCTCTTCCAGGGCCTTTCCCTGCCACCCAGGCTAGACTGGCTTCTGCCAGGTCCTGCTCTCCAGCCCTACTGGGAGCCCTTGGTCTTCCTCCTTCATTTGTTCTTCTCCCTCCATCTCTATGCCAATCTGAGTCCTGAGTGGACTAGAAGCTCTTCTTTGCTCCAAATCTTTCCCTGGTTTCCAGGACAGGACTGTGAACACTGGGAGTGGAGACAAGACAGAACAATATGATAAAGCAGAACCTGCTGGTAGGTCTCCAAGAGGGTCTCTGACCTTCAGCAGTCTCTGTCTCCTGGAGAGTTGCATGGCCTCAGCCAAACCCTACTCCTCTCCCTGCACCTGTGCCAACCCTCCCATGCTCACTTCTTCTTGCAGCCCTCCAGCGCCTCCTGCACTTGGTTGAGCTCCGAGGCCAGCCTCCCACTGTCAGCCTCTACATACTCGGCCTCCCGCCTCAGGGTCTCGATGTAGCCCTCGAACAGCAGCTCCAGACTGCTCTGGCAGCACTTGTGGTTCTGATAGAACTGCCACTTGGTCTCCAGCAACTTGTTCTGCTGCTCCAAGAAATGCACCTGCCACCCAGAGTGGAGGAAAACCTCAGGGTGGGAACCTAGGGAGGGTGCCATGTCCCCAGAGCTCTCTCAGCCCTGGGGAATAGCACCTGCCCTGCAGAAGCCCATGAGCTTCCCAAGGAGACCAGCTCATTGGCAAAGTCTGGACGTTCAGGTCATAATCATTCCCCAAGTAACTTCCTCCGCCCATCCCAGAAGGAGCACATGGTCGACCACCATTTGTTCATTCTGCACAGAACAAAATGGCATCTGATCCTGCAGGCTCTGTGTCACAAGATCAAATAAATAATAGTCCCTCATAGATGTCTGTTCCCTAGTCCCCAAGACCTGTGAATGTGTTATGTTACATGGCAAAGGGGACTTTGCCTATGGAATTAAGATTATGGACCTGAAGATTGGGAGATTTTCCTAGCTTTTCCAGCTGGGCAAAAGGTAGTCACAGGGACAAAGTAGAAGAGGAAGGCCAAAGAGTGAGAGAGATGCTCAGAGGAGGCAAAGAAATCATTGAAACATAGGATGACATCAACCCACTATTATGAGCAGAAGAGTCCACTAGCCAAGGGCTGTGGACAGCCTCTAGAAGAACCCCTGCAGCCAGCCAGCGAGGGACCACAATCCCAATCCTACCACCACATGGACCTCAGCTCTGCCAAAAGCCTAAATGGCCCTGGGAATAGACAATCTCCAGGACCTCCAGAAAGAAATGCAGCCCTGCCGACATACAGGTGTCAGCGTCATGAGAAGGTCAATTTGTGACGTTTTCAGCTGCTAAGTTTGTGGGCATTCATATGGCAGCAATTTAAAAATGCACCCTTGGGCTGGGGATGTGGCTCAAGCGGTAGCGCA